GGCAAGAGCATCGAAATTCAAAATCTCCTTTTTTTTCTGAAAATTTTTGTACGAAAGTCGTAATAGTAGCCCCTTCATAATACAAGCCCCCTCTAAAAATTTTGAACACTTGGACAGTTTAGAAGCCCCGGAGGCTTCTATTATGGGGGGCGGGGGTTAGCTCATATTGTAGAAAAATGTTTACTCTACAAAATCCAGTTGTTCGAAAAATTTAAATATGCGTACTTTTCATGCAATCCGTTTCAGCAAAAAGTTGAAATTTATAGGTTATAACGGTACTGGTTGGAAAGAAAAAAACATAACCTCATACCCGTCCTATATTTCACAAGAGACTCGTTTCTATTCAATTCTGATTCATTGCTCGAAATAATGATCATCTACCATCTTTAACTATAAATGATCTTACCTTCTGTTTTAGAACCTCGTCGTTTAGTTCCTGCTTTATCATTGGGCAATTGATTTTCATCGTATGATTGTTTACGTAAATTATTTGAATCATTATTCGGTTGTAAACGTGCACTACCAAGATGTTCATCGTTGCCAGATGATCTTTGACGATGATGTCGACGTTTTTCCTTTGGAGATGGACTGGCATCATGGACCTTTGCCGTTTGAGAATCATAAATATTTGTATCAGTAAATGATCCTTGACGACGTTGTCTATTATTCAGATTATTATCGGTCAAGGTAGGATTACCAGTCGATGTTAAAACATTATTTACATCACCCGCACTCGTCGGTTGTTGTAATTGATAATCAACTACGGACAATATTTGAGCTTGGCTCGATGTTGGCATCCTTTATCTGTAATAAAAAAACATTACAATAACAAAAAAATATTAATATGGACAGTCTATTTTTTTCTCTCTCTCAACTCTTGTTTTCTTGTTTCTCTGGTTGAATTTTAATCTTTCTTTTGTTTCGTTTACGAACATAATTTTGAAATATAGGTAAATAAATACTTTTTTTTTTCAAAGAAAAAGAAAAGGACTTTCTTACCTTGACACTGTGTTACTATTTAAAACATTTGTTGACGTAGAACATAGGGAAAAAAATAGAGTTCTTGTCCTCCCTGTTTTCTTTGTACGTAAAAGAGAGAAATAGTGCTTTATTATTTTTTTGGTATGACTTTAAATGACTTCACATATTCATTACTTTACGTTTAAAATGATAAAACAGTTTTAGGTATTCAGTGACTCATTTCTATAGTAATTTAAAATTTAACTCTGTTAAATTAAGTACATTTTATGAGTATAAAATAAGTTTTTCTTTTGAAATTAGTCATCGTATTATAAGCTTAAAGAACAATTTCGATAGCGGTAACAGTTGTGAGAAATGCAAACGAAAAAACTTCGATTAAATCTTAAATTTTTATTTTCAAAAGTATTAGATAGATATATTGACAAATACGCGACATTGTTACTTTTTATTGTGCTAAATTCAGATCGACTGATAGTAATGATACATTAGAAAATGCCAAAAAAAATCAGCGTACAAAAAAATGCTCTTTCTAGTACTTGAACTCGAAAAAAAAAAGAGTAAATGAACAGCAGGAGTTTCGATGGTATTTAACATTTCAGGATATAAATGATAAATTTTAGAAAGAATATTCAGTTTATAGTGGTAAACAATTGAGTACTACTATCGACAAAAAAATAAGCGATCTGTACAGACATGGCATCGATGCATTTTTCTCATAACATATTTTATTCATTTTCATCTAGTAGCCTAATTAATATGTCATAAATATATACGAATGAGTTCTTAAAATATTTGCGTTCATTGAAGCTCTGTAAACTTTTGATCAAAATTTCTTTTTTTTTCTTAGAGATAAACAAATTTGAACTTTCTATATTCATCTACATTTACTTAGTTTTTTTATATTAAAAATTCGTTTAAATTTATTTCTATCTGAAAAAAAATAAAGATTTCAATAGGTACTATAAATAAATGTATTGTTATGTAGAAAAATTAACTAATTAAATCATTAACTTTAGACTTGTGTGTATAAAAAATATTATTTTAACTTAAGGTATGAAAAATATTCTACGCTTACCATAAACTTCGTTATTGTGAGAATTTAAAATTAAATATTTCAATAAACAATTAAAAAATGAAAAACAGTTTGTTCATAGGAAAGAAAAAAAAAATGAAAATACACAGAAATTTTGTTAAAATTTTTTTGCACGTGTACATCTATAAATCAATTATACTCGAAACTATTCAAACAGACTATTTGTTCAATAAAAGAGTTTCGAGCATTTTTATTGACCTTTGTTTTTCTTTCATATTCATCTTTTTTTTCAAAGTTGCATATATATTGAAAGTTAAAAGGTTGCTGCTTTTTTTCTTATTATATTATCAAACAAACGAAGAGAATAAAATACATGAAAAAGTCGAAGAAAGATTTATTAAAGTGTACATATATATGTATAGATATCTATCATTAGATTCAAACATTTCGATAATTCAAAAAAAAAACGATAAATTTCATTTAGACTCTTAACAATTCATCATCTATCTTTTATTCTCAAAATTTTATGATAAAATAATTTTTTCTTATACAATATGTATCAAATGTTTCATGAGAGATTTATACATTCATTTAGATTGATATATTTATCAGAATAAGAGCTTCATCATACATTCATTCCTAAATATTTTTACTATTGTCTGTCTATAAAACACTTCAGTACTATTTCTTTAGAATTTTCACTACTGTACAATTATATATCTTTATTAGTGTTATGTGGAAAAATGTTCGATTATTAAGCAGAGCAATTTCTATTTATATACTTCTTTATCAAAAACTTACATGTTATTGTTTGAGTATGTTCTCAAACACCATTTCTTCTATTTTCTATTTTTTAATAAAAAAAGATTTCGTGTTTATCTGCTTGATGACAATAGAGAAAAGAAAACTTGTAAAAACATCATAAATTTTGTTGATAAATTCGTTGTCTGGATATAAAAGAGAAGTGTTTCACAAATCCATTTAAAAACAATTTAAAACACTATATGGATCTATAAGTAATGAATAACTATACTCTTAAAAACTATAAAATTATTTCAAGATTAAAATATTAAATTAGAAGATTTCTCACACAACTATTTAGGAAACATTTTTATATAACTATTAGAATTACGATATAAATTTTGTAATGTTTATTAACTATCAATTCATTTTGTGTTCTTCTATACCTTCCAAATGGTCTATACTGAATCAATACCAATGGTTGGTATTTAAAGAGAGTTTGACAGGTAGAAAATAAATTTTTTTAAAAGAAATTAAATGGAATTATGAATGGCGTACAAGGCATTGTTGAAGTGGAGAAAAACGAGAAAAGAAAGTGTGCACACTATTATGAAACTGTTTCTTTTTCTTTGTTAAAAATTTATTAAAATCTTTTTGGTCTATTCGTAGTTTTATAATGACGACTGATATTATGATCTATTACAAAAAGAAACATACACCTCCACCGTCTGTTTTATTGTTAACCGTTCCATCTGATACTATGAGTCGTCAAAAACATCTTCATGATGATCTACGCTCCCGTAATAGATTACTACGCCGTCAGGCTCGGCAACCACCAGCAACCACTCTCGATATTCAACCTAAACATAATACGGATGTTGAAAATTATTTATCAAATGCACAAACGTATAATTGGCAACGTCAAGAAGCAAAAGCATCTGTTATCAACATGGCAGCTGATATTGTTTACAAAAATACGTATATGAATGATAGCGATCCACGTTCAAAATCTTCCGCATCTGGTGATCGTTCTCCACGACGATCAAATGATGTTTCTGCATTTCCTCGATTAAAAACGGCTCCAAATAATTTGTCAAAATTCATAACACCATCATCGAAACCAGTTCCAGTACTAACACGTGGAAATACTTCGGACTCGTTTCACTCAGATCGTGTTCAATATCGAACGATCTATGATTACATACGAGAATCGATTCGTTCCGTTGTTCAACAACGAAATTTAAAACAATACAATTTTTCCACACGAATTAAACGACCACAGAACGAAGACATATTTCTTCGACGGGCATTAGACAAAAGAAATCATTATCAATATAACAAAAACGACGATGAACATTCATCATCAACAACAGCAACTTATTTCAGTAATGAACTAAAAAGTCCGCAAAGTTTTGTTAACTATGTCAATCATTCAAGAGAAAAAACATCATTAACAGAGCAAACATCGAAAAGTGATTATTATAGAAATACGAGTAATGTTTACAGTGAGACCGAACAGATCGAACAAAAACCGATTAATAGCTAAAATGATATCGTTTGAACTTGAGGAGGCTTTGTAATTAGACATGAATGTCAAAATAAATCTCACAACTGGAATAGAGCGTTGAACAAAAGTTTTTTACATGTTCCTCAACAGTATCTAGCATTCAATGCACACCGATACGTATAAGCTTGAACTGATGAGCCCCAATTCATTTCTAAAAAGATGAAAATATCTTTTATCTTATTATAATGAATAGTGATTCTAATAGCGTTTATCTAGCTTCATTGTTGAAACATAAAAATAAATACCACTAGTATCAACAAGTATAATTAGGGCTGGACTATAATTAATAATAAATATAACAAAAATACAGAGTAGTGTACCCAAAAGAGATATCCATTTGTTATAGAAACCAAATGCTGGTGTTCAACCGGAGGATTTACCTAGTGAAACATCAAAACAGAAGTATTTCAGTAGCGAATAGGTCATTAAGAAAAAGTTTGATATGATAGGAGAAATCATATTTAATTCAACGTACAAAAGAAAAATGATTGCATTGTTTGATATGTGAGAAATTATTTTGGCATTCAACTTATCTATAGCAGTAAATGGAATAGCAATAAAATAAGCTCGATGTGGTTCATATGACTGTCCATTTCCAATAGCTGAATATTTTAAACAGAGAAATATTATGTCTCGACAAACAGCTTGAAATACTTTCGGAGCACTCTAAAAGAAATTAAATCAAGATTCAAATTTTGTTTTTCTAAAGTTAATGAATATTCACTTACCACTAGATTAGCTAAAAAATATAAAATAAACAACAACAAATTAAATTACATTGATATGAAAAAGATCCAAGTAATCTTCCCAACATTAAACTACATCTTACCCAATGCACTGGATAGAGTAGCGGCGAAAATACCTGCAAGAATGATAGGACCAAATGCTGACATAGTGCGCATGATCTGAAAACAAATAAGATTTTATTTTTTCAATTTAATCAAAGGATGATCTAACACATTTTTATCTAATAATTGTAAACTAGACCCGATTTACAACTGACATTACTTGAAACTACTGTACAATTAATTCTTTGATTTAGAACTAAAACTGAGTCAACTAAAATTGAAAATATTTTTAATTGTCAGATTATTGTAAGAAATTTCTTATTCCATACGCAAAACTTCATGTTTTGTTGTAATATCACAAATAATACAGAAGCCAAGATAAATAAAACTTGTTATAATAATGGCTACTATCGTTCCTAATGGAATGACTCCTGATGGATTCCACATAAAAAAAGGACAAAATTATGTATCGTACAGGTACATTATTGAATTCAACATAATTTCAATTTTTCATTTATTATTTGCACCCGCTAAAATACCTGTAACACTTGGAAAAAAACACCAAAAATATGTTGGAACCGATCAGTGCAATAAATAAAATCAACGTCATTTTGAGTACTCTTTAAATATAGGATTACTCTACATTAATAGTCAAAATATATTCTAAAAATAGTTTTGTAGCCCGTGACAAATTCTATCTATTGACATATAGCATTAAATGCGTGTACATTTGGTAAGTAAAAACAATCGAAAATAGTGAAAAGTTTACTTTCTTGACAAATCAACTTTCAAAATTTTTTTTCCAAGCTACAAGAAAGCAAGAAATAAAAGTAACATGTTAAAATAAATGTGGATATGATCAGCTATCACCACCACTACAAATTAATAAAAAACAGCGGGCACCGTTTTCTTATAGAAATCACCCCCACTCCTTTCCAAATTTAGCTTTTCAGACTCAGTTTTGAATGGAAAATAAGAAGAAAACTAGGATTGGAATTTTAAAAGACGACCAAACAAGAAAATTTTGCTTAATATTCAAAAATTTGCTCATTTTTATCCATTTTTAAAAAATCACTATTTTAAAATTTTTTCACCAAAACATGTCTTCCGAAAATCTGGAATCAAGTTTTTTTCTAGGTATCTCGATGAGCTCTATTCAACTAGCACAAAAAAAGTAGAAGAAAAATTTTCTGCTCAACTTTTGAATTTCCAGCATCTTAATATTGTTTCTAACATTCAGTCACTAACAACAGATGGTCCTAATATGAAGGGATTATTTATGTACTTATTTTGGACACACAAAATCCGAAAAGCCATCAAAATTTTGATAATAAATCACAGTTGTAGTTTTTACATATCTTTACTCTACACTATTTTTCTAGTTAATGAAGTAATATGTAATGAAAACAGGTAATGGGTTTTGTAGAGGAGAAAATTCTCTATCGAATAAGCCTAGAATGGAGTCTTAGAACCTCAGTTAGCGCCCGAAAAAAGAGAGCAAAAGTATGTTATTATTTCTGCGCCACCCGTTATTGTATATAAAGATATTTTAACAGTAGACGATGCAAAACTGACTGTAGATAATGGCGCTAATGGAATAAAGAACGGAAATCCTTCCGATATTTAACATACTTTTAGTAATTATGATGGTCGGCAAATTGATACAGCCAGCACCGCCGGCAATCCAATGTTCAAAAGATATGGTTGACTATGCTAAGTATTAATGTATTTGTCGATCGTGGAACAAGAACTACTACCGAAGTCCCCAAAGAATTAGTATTAGATAGAAAAAATCGTATTGGTTGATCGTCCAGTTCTATATGGATTAGCTTTCGGTGCACAGTAAGCAAATCCATATACAACTGGACGACCAACAAATACCACCACAGTAGTGATAATGGTATTGAATTGAAACTCTTATTTTCTGGTCTAATCCAGATGATTCAACACGGCCCGTAAACGGCCGTAAAATCGATTTACGACATCACGTCAATTTACGGTCATTTACGGCGTGTTACGTTGCAGTACACGGTCGTAATTCGGTCATCGTGACCAATGACCTGGGAATGTAATATACAGCTAGTTGTGACTTAACAATAACTGAACAAGTTAATGAAAAGATTTTATATAAGTATCAAGAATAATTCGCTCTGGGTATTTTGAGTTTCATTTCTTCTATCCGTTGAAGTGAATCATGAGAGTAGATGTTGTTTTCAACCTTCTTTATTCAAAAGGAGTAAAAGCGGGAAGCCCCATTCTAGTACATTCATAGAATACGTATACAGAACTCACACATAGAACTCACACCCGTCTAATTGTCTCATTCACATTACCATAACTACACTTCGACGACGGAACACAATTTCGTGTAAATAAATTAGCATTCAATCGAAGATTATTTATTTTCTCATAGTCTCATAAATTCTCATAAATGGGATTTCAATTTGTCGGTTAGGAAATAACAATTTTTTCAATAAACTCTTCAATGATCGTTAATTAAAGATAATGCTCTTCAAAGGGCCATGCCAGTGCTTCGCAGAAAATTGCCACCCGTCTGCCAAGAATTCTTTCTACACTGCTATATAGGGGCACGTTCGCTGATTTTTTGTATAGCATCGATTGGTTTTAGGGCACGGTTCCCAGTATCTAAAAATCAACTTTTCCATTAGGGTGTCATAAGGCATGGCTGAACACGGAAATGCCATATCTCTGTGTTGAAACACTTCTAAACAAATGGTTTTCTGATATGAGTAGCCTGATGTCAGGACTACAAAGTATACTACCAACATAACTCTTCGCGCTGGATAGAATTTCTTTTAGTATCATAAAAACTTTTGACGTATCTTCAATCTACTATACACTAAATGAAAAGCGTTTTGGTGGTGGCGCGTATGATGGTAGAGAACGGTTCATAGCTTAGAATATTCCTATGACATTCTAGTGTCGTTATCTGCAGGCTTGAACAGTTGCTGTTTGGTTCTTCTTAAACAGCACGGCATTTAACCCAACAAATATTCTAATTGTATCTATTCATCTAGGATTTTTCTATCTTTTACGATTGTTTGAAGTCCGATAGCGTTAATTCAAACAACAGCGGGCTTTTACTTAGTGTACAGATGTTTCTTCATCTACTGGTGCGCGTTCGTACTCTTCGTTCAAGAAGAGCTATATTTTCGTTTTTCAGTGTGCACCACTTTATAAAAAGAATGAAAAGACAACAGAATGGTCGCAAACTTGAAAAACGTAAAACTGAGTCTACGGAAATGATGGAGTAAAAATGTGCTGCTGGTAGACATATGATTGAAAATTGCTGTGTCGTGCTTAGTCGAGGTACCAAATAACTGACACATTGTGCGCATAACATCCTAAAACTCTCGGCCCACATTCCCTACACAAAATACAATGCACTTCCTATCTAGTTCCTGCTAGGATTCTACAGGATCCTAACATTTAGGATCGACCTAAGAACTCCCTAGCAGAATCCCACTAGAATATTGCTTAAGTTTGTTTAGGATCCTAACAGAATATTAGAATGCCTCTGCAATGTGGCGTTGTCAAAACACAAATGTAAAGAAAAGTAGATATGAACTCCCGCAGACCGATTGGTCTCTTTTTCAAGTTTTGAATTGAAAGAAACAGTAAGGGTCCAAATGGCTATCCCATTCGGGATCAGCATCGTCGATTACCTATAATCGCCTATATTCATGGCGAAAGGCGAGTGGACACCTAGAAATGGTTTCTCGTAAGGGTTTGCCCAGAAGATCATAGCAGAAAACAGCAAAAAGAAAACATATACTCTCAAAATTTCTTCCCGTTCTTCTGAAAACTTACACTACGCCCATATGCTTTCTTCGCCACGACATTGTATACACTAGATACACTGGTACAATGATAATTTATATCTATGCACTATGTACTTAAACAGTATTATTTTTCTGTTAGAAATAACAGTATTGGTAAATAAGTAGAAATCTTGTAAGGGACTGCTACAAAATACATAGTGATTTAAACTAAATCTTTAATAATATTTTTTAACATCAATAAAGTATTATTAAAGATTTAATTTAAATCATTATGTATTTTGTAGCAGTCTGTTATTTTCCAGTATCCTTTTCCAGTTGACACTGTTTTTGGACGAATTTTCGTACACATTTCATTGTCAACCCTTATTGTGATGTTTTTTAGTTGGTGGTTTTTTTGAATGTTTTTTTTGCTGTGCACAATTCATATTGAGCATGTGGCGGATCACTGTAGGAAAACGGCAGTCATAATTTGCCCTACATTTCGTGACTTTGCTGTAAAATTAAAACCTCATTTACAGATAATCTGCCTCTGCGCTGTCATGAAAAACACATCAGTTGTCTTCGATAGCCATCAGAGCCCACTTAGAACCGCTAAACGCAGCCCAGAAACTTGCTTCTCGTATAGTGAAAAAAAACGACTTTTACGTATTTGTGAGAAATTCAGCACATCAGGACAGCTCTCTCTTGATCTCGTCTATTGACAATCTCTGATGTGAGACGAGATATTTCACTCGAGATACACCGCTACTTAGTTACATATTCTTTCTGTTCAGTCTTTAGAACTTTTCTTTTGGTAAGAACCGTAAAAATTGGACGTAAAAACAATGAAATAAACTTTCTAAGTGGGTATAACTTGATAACAATGTCTCTCTTTTTTGTTGATTTAAGAGATTTTCTTTATAATCAAAATATTAAAAAATCCCAATTTTCCACTATTACTGTGTATTGATCGTTATTAGTTATATTTCTGTTCTTTTTTAGTTGTTCTTTGTATTAGTTCTTAAAACATGTCTTGTTGTTAGGTTACTCTGTTTCTGTAATAATGTTTCATGGATCTGATCTTTAACTAGTTCTCTTTACTATATCTTTGCTATATTGGCAAAAATAAATAAATTGCAATGAATGAATGAATGTATCAAATTTTAAAGGCCTTACCCAAGCTTGTAAGTTATAGCTTTTTACGCGATAGATTAATAAAATAATAGTTTTTTTATAAAAAGTTGCATACTGTTTACGATTATAAAGTAAAATTATCACATATAACCCTGAAAGTTTTGTTTACAGGAAATAACTGTCGATTATAACACAGGGCCAATGTGTATATATGAAAGAAAAATAGAGCAGAGCGTCAAAAACATAGAAATAGAAAAATTAACTTTTATCCGTGATAAATCTCACATTTTAAAACGAACTCAAACAAGAGCGCATCATTTGTTACTCGTAAACGCTAGACTAATACGATTATTTTCATAATCACACTTTTGTTTTGCATTGTTGTGTTAATAAATTGAGTAATATCGAATGGCCATGGTAAGGTATGCTTCTAATTAATCAATTATAGAGTGTAGGGTATATTTTTACCTAGTTATTCTTTTATAATAAAACAAGTTTATAAATTATGAATGTACCATTCTTAGGTTGTTCAAAACTTATTATTATTATTAATTGTATGTCAACAAATCACCCACATCAAAGTCACAGAAAGTGACTCGGACATACTAAATTTATCTACTAAAGATTTGACTTTGTTATTTGAACAAGCGATGATTAGAAAATTATCTGTCAATATTAGTGAACAGACCAGTTGTGAGTATTTCAATGTATATTACAGGCATAATTCGATCAGATTTTTTAAGGCTCCTTCTCCTGGCAGAAACGTATCTCAGGAACTGAAAGTCTGCTGTAGACCAAACTTTCAGGGAATGTTCACCTTATGACTGTACTCTTTTCGCACAATTTTGGTGAAATCATCTGTCACCGTTTCAGAGATGTCGCTCAATTATGGGTTAAAATGAAGCTGTTCATAGCTGCAAGATTTCCCAGTAACCAAGCATCATGAAGAGCTCGGGAGGATCTCAAAATGACGAAAACACATGTGGCTAGGGGCTAATAGAGTCCGCGTTTTGATATTTTACTATTCAGAATAATAGGCAGCGTCAAATGCCCAAAATTCGAAAAATTGTCATTAACTTGCACAAAGATATTTTTCTAACCACAAATCTGGACTCAAAATCAAAAGTCGGCCTCTGTTAGCCTCCAGCCACTTATGTTGACTTCATTTAAGATCAATCTAAACTCTTTGCGTCGCTCCGTTACCGAGAAATCGTACACCTATGAAGCTGTGTGAACGCGCAGTTCGCTTTTGACATAAATTTATGACAAAAGCGAACTTCGCGCTAGTGTACGATGCATATTTTAGGGCTTTTATTTAAAATACTTATAACTTTTGGTTAGAACATTGCCTGGAGTTAGGAGACGTCTGATTTTGATTAGAAACGTTCGTTTTACAACCTAGTTGCGTTAGAGCTACTTTTTCTCTCGATTCTATATTGATAACACACAGTTAGTAGAAAAGTCAGTCTTTCAGCGCTTCTGACAAACTTGCTGAAAAACTTGCAGAAATCTTTGATGAAGGTCGTAGTAACACGGATTCAGATAGCAGATACCTTGGGCTATGCAGCAATGTGCGTACTACGCACTGCATAGGTCAATACTGACTTTTTTACAAAAATCTCATATTTCTGACAGAGGTGGGGGGAGGGCGATGGTTAAATTGATCTACGAGCCATTGCACGATAGCAGCGACCGAGCGTGCTCAATTTTTTTTTAAAATTTAATTCTGATTTCCTCAGTTTGTAGCCCTACTAAAGTTGAATATATTCTGAAATTTTTAGCCTTTAGCGGTGTTTCATTGATCGGGAACAAATTTTTTATCCCGACACATCACTCTATTCCACACGTTTTATGACTTTTTGTATGATTTGACGTTATTCACCAATAACGTTTCCAATCGAGATTTTTGGTAGGTATATACTAGACAACGAGTAGTGCACATCTACCGACTCGAAAAATTTTTTAAAAGAATAACATATTGAACCATGAAATTCTGCATCGATTGGTATAGTTTTTACTACTACAGATTGTATACTCAAGACTCTAGTCGACGTTAATCATCCAACATTATCCGTTTTATTCTCAATTGGGGTTCTTTATGGTGAGGATAGAACGAATGAGGCTAAGAAAGGTGTAGTTTTGTAGAACTCATTTCGGGCTACAAAATAGCTATCTTCATTTTTTTCTGAACACACATCATAAACGAAATGGCGGTTTATAATGACGCAAACCTAAGTAAACCACGCACTACATTCTGTAAATATTTTAACATGGCTAAATGAAAAAGATTGCCAATGTGAAAATAATGCAGAATATATAGTTTCAGATTCGCTATCGAATGAGACTGATTTAAGCCAGAATAAAATTACGCTTCCTTCAAAAACCCGCTTTCTGACCATCAGGTTTTCTGGAAAACCTTTCAAATTTTCTTTTCTATACAGTCTGATAGGGTAAAATATTCTGAGTAAAACGGTATATCGCTCAAAATTTTCTGATCGTTTTCAACGATGTACGGGATTCGAGATTTAGCTGGGTAAACCACCCTCTAGCAAAAGCGGGTTTTTGGAAAATTGACTTCTCTATAGAGAAGTCAATTATATATATACTATATATATACTAATGTTGTAAAATTTTATTTAATAAAATTAAAATAATTAATAAAAATAAAACATTTTAATTATTATATTTAGACAAGTTTAAAAACGAGATGAATACAAATGTTTGATTTTAAATACATCTAATGGCTTATCTAAAATTGTATTTTATGTCTGGATTAATACAAAACCTATACGCAAGAGATTTTCGATCAAAAAATTGATTTTGAGATACGTACCAAGGCTCGAAACAGGCCGACACTTTTGAGGCCTGGTCTGCCTGCGTCCGGCCTGTGATGTTTAGATCTGCCTGGGCCTGTCGATAAATTTCCTGGGCCTTGCTTGTCTGCCTGCTATTGTTCTCGGCGTACCCTGGCCAGGTCTGTAGAAGCCTGGTCATTTTTCAATAAACAAAATGTACAAATAATAGTAACATAGGATGAAAAGAAAAGTGACAGATAATTAAACAATATATCTGAGTAAAAAAATTTGGTTTTTGTTCAAGTATTTTCTGAACTGATCTAACTAACAAGATATCCTCAACCGTGTCAGGATTTAGTGATGCACGGCGTTCATTAATAACCAGGCTAGGCCGCCTGGTGTTTTCAAAGGTCTGTCTGAATCTATTTGAGTTTAGGCCTGGTCTGCCTTAGCCTGGTGCAGGCCGAAAATTTGTAGCCTGGTCTGTCTGTAACAGGCAGACAGGTAGGCTGCCTGGCCTGATTCGAGCCCTGATACGTACATGGTCAGATAGTCTAAAGTGTCGATTTTCAGAATCTGTATCGCTTTTGGTTATAAAAGTGGTTTTTGCGGATTTTGAGCAAGTTTCCTAGGAGCCTCGAACAACCGGGTCTTCAAATAATAGTTTTTCCTGGATACTTATGTAATTAAAATTTTTCTGACACAGATTTGTAGAGCAAACGTTTCTAATCAAAATACGACTTCGCACAACTCTGAATGACCTTGCATCAAAAAGTTACAGGCATTTTGTGGAAGTTCTAAAACTGAGCATTTTATACAGCGTTTAATACAGCATTTTTTCTACATAAAAGTTATACCTGAAGTGTGTCCCAAGATTTTGAATAGCAGTTTGTTGTAGAAAGTTCATTCTTTTTTTGTTTAAAAGAGGAAAAGAAACTACATGGACTGACCAGCGTCGATTTCTGAATTAGGTTTTAGTAGAACGACCGGGGGGTTTAAGTAGAACGACCAGAACTAATTGTTTTTTCAGAAGAGTTTTTTCATAAAATGAAGACTCAGGATGAACAAATAGTTAGTTTTTAACTAGAATAAATATTTATTCTAGTTGATACTTATCCATTAACTGGTTTAGAACATCATAATCAAATATCAGCAAACTCTATTGAAATTGCAAAACAGTCTGAATTAGCATTAATGGTATCCAAACAATTATTAACGTAACTAGAAGTGTATTTTGAAAAAATAGATTTTCATATTAATTTATTTGTTCAGGAAAAATTATATTAAAATTGCAGCAGCAAGACTTATTGAATACGGTGATGTTCGTCCCTCACCTACTATAAAAACATTATCAAAATTAACAGCACCAACTCAAAATTGTCCGTTTAAGAAAAATATTAAATGTAATATACAAGAGAAGTATCGAACAATCGATGGATCGTGTAATAATATAAAGAGACCGTGGCTAGGCAAGTCAAATACACCATTTAAACGATGGTTAACACCGTTCTATGATGATGGTAAGTAATAAGGATCTATCTCAATTAGATATAATTTTTATTAAAATCATTTTAAGGATTGGATTCACCACGTTTATTGGGAATATCGGGTCGTTTACCAAATGCCAGACACATTTCACTTACCGTTCATCGTTCAATGACATCAAAAATAATTGTTGAACAAAATGCGACTAATTTGTTTGTTATATTTGGACAATTTATTGCACACGATCTTATTTCAACAGCTGCTGGAACAGGTACTGTTATATTCAAAGATAGACAATGATAATCATTAAATTAATTCTAGATATAAATGGAAGATCTGTAAGATGTATATGTAACAAAATTAATAGACTTTGTATAAATATTCCAAGACCTAACAATGATACATTGAATATTGATCAAAAGTGTATGGTTGTGGCAAGAAACGCTGCTAGCTTTCCGACTGTAGACTGTAAATTAGGACATCGCGAACAATTAAATTTAATAACAGCATATTTAGATTTATCGCAAGTATATGGTTCAAATCAGCATACTACCAATGATTTGCGACTATTTAAAGGCGGTTCGTTTTACATTCTCTGTTTACTATTAATTATTTTTATCGTATAATCTGTTCATTTAGGTCAATTAAAAGCAACAAAATTTCAGAATCGAACTTATCTCTCACATTTATCATTAAACTCTTGTATGGATGATAAACAAGGACAATTATGTTTTAAAAGTGGAGATGGTCGTACAAATGAAAATATGGGATTAGCTTCATTACATACAATGTTTCATCGTGAACATAATAGAATAGCACATAAATTAAGTCAAATAAATTCAATGTGGAATGATGAACTATTATTTCATGAAACAAGACGAATTGTTACAGCTCAATATCAACATATTATTTATAATGAATGGTTACCAGTACTGTTAGGTAAAATATTAATATTAGATACATGAGATAAATTTATAATGTTGATGATTTATTTTCAGGTAAAAGAATCTGGATAAACACTGATTTAAAACCATTAATAAATGGATATCATATGAAGTATGATGAAAAAGTAGGTTTCTAATTTATAATAAATTTATATTAACATGTAGAACAAAATAATTTTTATTTCTAGATTGATTCAAGTATTTCTAATGAATTTGCTACAGCCGTATTTCGATTTGGTCATTCCATGGTGACATCAACAATGTCCAAAGTGACATACCGATATTTTCTGTATAAAAATTTAACATTTTCAAATATATCATTCAGAAATAAAGAAGCCTATTTGTGTGTACACAATGATATTCATCTTCTAATATTCTAAAATAATTTATGATTTTAGAGATAATGGTTTAGATGGAATATTGTTGGGAATGGTGGTAATATATCAAATATTAAGATAAAATTGATATTAAATAATTGAAATTTGTTTCTTTTACTAGACAGATCATGGTGAAAAATCAGATGCTATTATGACAAAACAAATACAACAACATCTATTTGAAACCAAGGATGTTAATAGTACGTAAAAGAATGTAATCTTTTTTTGTATTGAAACCTAAGATTTCTAAAATTTGAACATCTTTACGATGTTTAATTATTTTAAAATGAAAGTATATCATGTTTAATTTCACTTTTTCCTGTACAAAACAGAATATTATCTTAGGTCAAACAAAAAGATTTGATTTGGCAGCATTGAATATAATTCGTGGACGAGATCACGGTATTGGACCCTACATTGCATATCGTCGATTTTGTCGTTTATCAGTGCCAAAATCATTCAGTACACTTAACCATTTGTTGAAAGTTTATAAGTGAGTTTGATTAATCCCTCTGATAATTAACAAAAATATCTGGTATATGTAAATAATTTCAGAAATGTTGAAGATATCGATTTATTTACGGGATTATTGACAGAAAATCCCTTGCCAAACGCAATTGTCGGTCCTACATTGGGTTGTTTATTAGCCAGACAATTTCAAGATTTAAAACGTGGTGATCGATATTTTTATGAAAATGGTCAGTTTGACTTAATTAAATTCACAACTAATCAGTTAAATGACATACGTACCGTTTCATTATCATCTATTTTATGTAATACAATACCCGATCTATTGACTATACCGACGAGATCATTTTTATTAAATACAAAAACAATGAATTGTCAGAAAATAAAAAAATTGAATCTTTTTCACTGGAAAACTTGATAGATGTCTTTCTGTTAATCTTGTTATACACGCTGTTATAAAATGTTATAAAATAAAATAATCAACAGATCAACTATGTAACAATGACTCATTCATTTGAGATTGGCTTTTCTCCTTTGTTTCATTTACACCATTTTTTTATTATTAAAAAGGAACACTTTGTTCATGTTCTAAACCGATTAATTTTTTAAACAATCAACCACTAGAAAAAAAGTCCAGATGCCTGAAAGACATGAATAAATAACAGCATTGATCTTAATGGTTAATTACTCTGAATATGATAAATGTGGATTTGAATTTATTCAATTAAAGCACAGAAATGTGTACTGTTGAGGTTTTAAGACTTTGATTGATTGATTGATTTATATTTTAGTAGCCCCAAGTAGATGATAGATAGTGAAAAAAAGGAACACAAATATACATCTATTACATAAACAAAAACAAAACAAAAACACGCTACTAGGAAGGCAAAAAAAGTTCTGAGAACCTGTAAACTTTGCCACCTTGTTTTAAAACGATTAAAGCTCAGGGTAGTTCTTCAGCTTTGTTTTAAACGATTTTATTGTGGGTGATGTAACAACAGCTTCGGGAAGGGTTAAATTTCAGTCTCGGGCCGTTTGGCAGATAAATGATTGTAGAACGGTTCCTGTTCTAGCAAAGAGAATTTCTACTATTCTCGAATGATTAAGACGGCTTGATCTTCTAGATTGGTCGTATTGGATAAGGTTCAGTCTAGATAGAGGAGAGAGGCCGGTAACGATTTTGTAAAAGTATATAAGATGAAAGTATTTTCATCTTACTTCAAGTAGAGGCAGATTCAATCTTCTAACTAAATTCTGACCGGGAGTGGAAAAGTTTCGAATAACCATATGGACTGCTAGATGTTGGACGGACTCGAGACGAGACACCCGGGTGGTGAAAGCGGTGTCATACAAGGCACAGGCATAATCTAGTTTACTCCGGATACAATTCTTATAGATTTGAAGACGGATATGAGCAGGTGCTTGTTTAAACTGTCTATACATAGCGCCAAGGCGTTGCCGACAGGTTCGCACAAGTTTTACTATATGATCTCGCCATCTCAGTTTACAGCTTATTTCGAGCCCTAGTAGAAATAAGGCTTTCCTCGCGCTTTATATTAGAGCCATCCGGTAAGATAAATTTGAAATTATTTGCTTTACCAGGGGTATTAGAAACGAACATCCACGCGCAAGACTGATACTAATGATATCGTTTTGACGTTAATGAATGTGTAAGTCTAAATATAAGCGATTACAGTGGTGTAAATCCCCATACTGCCGTCTTTCACCTATTATTCCAAAAAAGAGATTCAGACTCCTACAGATAATTATTATAATCAATAACTCAGCCGTTGTTTGGCTTGCTCCAACCACGACAAATAGCAAATTTATGACAAATTATAGCAACAACAAGTGATTCTGATGAGAAGCAGGATGAGATTTATTTGAGATATAAAACATATTTTATAGACCGCGTAGAAAAATAGTACGAAAAAAAGCGATACATTGGTCACTGTACAAATATGATAAAATAGGTTACTGCAACATTATTTGCTAATTTAAATATCAAAAGGTAAACTTAATCAAGTATCCTTAATGTACTTGTTTCTCCTAATTCTCTTTTTAATTTAACATTAATTTTATTCCAATCAACATCGGTCTAAAATACGTAGCACATTGTGATTTTCCAATTAAGATAACAAGTTAAACTTACGGTTTTCATTGCCTGCAAATATTTTGGGTTCGTTTCTTTTTTCCCACCACCATAGTCTTGCAGATATTTTTGTCTATAACCGACAACAATATCCAAGTATTGAGTATGACGTTGCGATAAATCAATTGCACTTGAAAAATATTAAACCATATGAATGAAGGTAGCTCAAGGTTTCTCGTGTTTGAAGAAAAGGAAGAAGACTAAATATTAAGCTAGTATCTTTATTTAATGGCAGGAAGAACATAAATTTTCTTGGTGTATAGAACAGAAAAAGTTAACAGTAAAGGAGACAATGTTCAATCAAGTCAATGTACTATCCAGTTCAAAACATAAGGCCCGTGGATGTCTTTTGAATAACCTTTGATAGGAATGTGATAGAGACTAGCGATTTTCATCATTCGAAAGAAGAGACTTTAAAGCATGTTTTCATCAGCAGAAATCTTTCTAGAAGAGTTTCTTAAAATAGGTTTTCTAGGAGTCCTTTGGTAAACCGGTTGTGTTTCAGAAACTTCCAATAGGATTACATTGATTTCTTTTATGGGCTGATATCCCAGAATGTCTTCTTCAAAATGGGAGTCAAGCGAGAGCTTAATTTTCAGTGGTTTGGGTATAGTGTCGAATTTCCTTCGAGTCCCACGACTTATACCTCGCGACTATTGGTAATCTCGAAAACGGGTGGACTATAGCTAATCAATCATGCGGAGTCTTGTGAAAATAATTGTTTTTAGAAAAAGATTGTAAAAACTAACGAACGCCACGTTTTTCGAAAATTAGGAATTTCTGTGTGTTTTCATCTAATATCAAAAAACTCAATATTCACTCAAAAAACACTAGAACGAGTGCTAAACCTCAGAATGTACAGTATTTGGACAATTTTATATTCTATTTATAATAAATCTACAAAGACGAGTTTAAAGAACCCACGGTTTTTCTAAAGAGCTTCTGGAAAGCTTCTGGACAATAACATGTTTTTTCAATTTGTTTGATCTTATAACTATGTCTGGCTACTAAAATTAATCATATCCTGAAGTTTTGAACTCGTTCTGCTGTATTCTGAGTGAATATTGAGTTTTTAATATTAGATGAAAACAAGCAAAAATTTCTAGTTTTCGAAAAACGTGGCTTTCATTATCGTTTAAAATCTTTTTCTAATAACAAATATTTCCACAAGACCCAATTTAGACCCAATTTACTGATGATGAATCGGCTAATTAGACACGTTTAATTTGTTTGTTTTAACTAAATTAATGTGTGTAATTTGGCTGCTAGTATGCAAAATTCTAAAAACTATTCAGCTCATTTCACTTAAAAAATTGACAGTCATAGTTTCATCATACCGATCCCAGTTGTGCTGATTAATGTGAAGCATAATAGCATGTAATGGTTTGTTTCCTTGAAGATAATATCCCTCAGCTTCTTGGATATTTCCACCGGTCAACAACGCTAACTCTGCGTCTCTTTCTTCTTTGGTTGGTATAGAGCGTAACTGTTGCAAACAGTAGACCATTTCTGTCTAAATATAATAGCATTCTGCATATGACCGTTCCTCTAATAAAAAAAAAGAAGAATTACTTCCGATAATTGTGCAAAAGCATTTTCAGCTGAATCAAAATCATGATTATACAATGATATGATACCAATTAATGCATAGATTGTATCATCCTAAATAAAATAGCAAAATATTGTATTGAATATTGTTTGTAATAAATAAAAAAACAGACGGTTATATATTGACATAATTGTAATGCATCTTCTGCACGATTAGATGCTAATAGATCAAGACACAATTCATAATAGACAGGTATTGAACATTGTATAAGTGCCCCGGTTGATTTTCTTATTGTTATATTACTACTGAGAAAATCCGATATCGATGGATTCTTTCCAAAGTCACTAGACAAAATAATGGACGTTAATATAATTCAATTTTTTTATTATCCAATATTTATACCTGGAATCTAAATGATAAATTGTTTTTTGAACAAGATTTGGCTGAATAAAAACAACATTTGGATATAACCATATGTTTAACTTTCCATCTGCTATTCCTGCTACCATAGAATTTTTGTCATTCCACCGAAAACTTCCAATAGTCGTACCTAGAAACGTTTTATGACCCTTTCTGTTCGTCTCTCTCTTTCTCTTTCTGCGTACAAGTTAACTTACATAATTTTCTTATTCGCTGATTCATTGTCTGTTGGTTATTTGATCTCACGAGCATTATAAATAAATCTTGAAATTTATCGGCAAACGCTAATTTTCGTTCATTTTGTGTGCCGGTTTGATCAAGTGCAATTTGTATTACTTCATACTGTAAAAATTTTTAAAAAAACTAATACTCAAAAAAATAATGTCATTTCTAGGTTTACCGAATGTGATAGAGGTTTTCCATCGCCAATCGCTTTTCCGCTAATATCCAAGAATATGATTGCTATAAAAAGTGAAAATAGAGATGATTAACTTTTTTTTACAAATAGAGAAGACAGTTGCTTACATTTTATATCTGTTGAATCTCGAATGGCGATCGTATCTGAACTCAATGATACTGTATTCATATTAATCGAATCTGATTTTGTCGAGTTTAATTTTGGAGTTGATACAAGCCGACCTTCATAAGAATAGATTAATAAATTAATACCATCTGACAATAAAAAATATCTAAATCAAATATGAGAGTAATACAAAGATTTGTCTTTATCATCCGTTTTACTTTTCTGCTTGAACAATTAAACTCATGGGCATATCACGTAAATCAAATGTTGCCGGATGACCAAATGATTTACAACTAGAAACAAAAAAAGAAAAAGAAAATGATGATTTTTGGTGATCAATTTTATCAAATCTTACTTGTATATTAAACCTTGATTAGTTGTCAAAATTATTAAGAAACCAAATCCAACAGACATTTTAACTAGACGATCTTTTAATTCAATATTATCTTTTAATTCTGTTTCACAATTATAAACAGATATAATTTTTGAATCAATTAGAATAAATTCTAAATGTCGCCAATCAATTCGACTGAAATCAAATGTAAAGTGATTTGAATTTTTAATTCAATAATTAGATCTGTAAATAACAGGTTTCTTTTAATATCTTAGCTTGATTCTATTCATATAACTATTGGGTCGATAGACTAAGGTTAAAAAGAAAAATATTAAACAACTAATATTAAAAATTAATTAAATATTTTTCTATTCCGTTTATCTCATTGTGAATGAAGGAACTGATATCACAATTTGAATCTACCAAAGAGGTACAAATATGCGGAACCTGACTTTTTTTCACCGTATTTAAATATTTTTCTATCTGAATAAAACAATTTAATATTTGTCTATCCTAGGCGAAAAACTTTATTATTTTTCTATCTTACAACAAGAAAAATATTTATTAGATCAGATAGAAGAATATTTAAATAAGATAGAAAAACATTTAATGAACTTTTAATATTAGTCGTTTAATATTTTTCTTTTTAACATTTTTCGGTATACTCGTAACTATTATCATACCGTTCAATTATATATCCAATTCCTACTCGACCTGTCCCACAACCACAAACTAATTGTGTACTATCACCAGACCACGATAATCCATAAATACTACCGTCTTTCGGTTTTTCTGTTGAATGACACCACTGTAATAAATGACGAGGAAAATAAAATTGATCATACCATAAATTTTAATACATACTCCAGCACTATCACAAAGGCGCAATGTATTGTAAGATCCAACGGCAAAATTTGAACCATCTGGTGCCCAGGCAATACTTGTAATCGGATACTCATACGCTGCACTCACAAACAATTGTCGACCAACAGTATCCCAAATCTAAAAATAATAACATGTTACAATGCACAAAATCGTCCCCGAACAAAGAAAGCATAGATGAATGAAAATGCAAGAAAGATATAGAATTCGTTAAAATGAATATGTATTTACTTTATAGCGGCAGTCTTCTCCTCCAGATATAATCAAATTATTAACAGTATTCCAGTCACATTTCAAAATAATATTATCATGTGCTTTCCACTAAATAATTTGTATATATATGTGAATAACATTACGTGTAATATATCGTAAATGAATACTTACACTATTTTGTTTTGTATTTGGTGACAATGGTTTAATTATGAGATGTTTTCCGGTACAGTATAAAACAGAATCATTCTCGGCTGACCAACAAACACAAAATATGGGCATTGCTAAAATAAAATCGTAGTTTCAATAATAAAAAAACGTAAAATAGACGTAGATCTATAGTATTTTAACATCTAACTTGATTGAACTAAATTTGATCGAAGCATTCCAGATCTCGCCCAAATTCGAACTTGTCCATCTTCGCCAGCTATATAAATAATGATAAATAGTTCTGATATATAAGAAAGAAAAAAAATATGAAATGAAACCTGTTGCAAACTGACTACCATCTGGACTCCAACGAACTGAGATTGTTGCACCTCGATGAGCATCAATAACTTTTTCAACTCGTCCAGTTTTATTAACAAAACAAAATTTTCCTAGCAAAAAACATAATCAAAAATCACGTAAAACCGACAATTTAAATATTTACCATCACTCGTGCCCAATACAAATAAATCTGATCCCACCGTTCGTTTTGTACTAATAGCACCAGTTACTCCTCCACTAGCACCTTTTGGCAACCAATGCATATCCAACGGAAATAGTTCTGGTGGTAACTCGGCAATTTTTACAACTTCATTTTGTACAACATTATATTTATAAATGATGTGATCTTCGCCAACAGAAAATATATCATCAGCTGTCATCCATCCAACGCATCTGACAACTTCTGAGTGTGGAGATGGTTATTAAGAAATATAACATCATGTTTCTCTCAGAATTAGACTATCCCGTTACTCTTATCAGTAATAATTTTGTGTTCAGCTGAAACGGTAAGTGAAAGGTACCTCACACATTCTTCAAGCTCGAGCAATGAAAATCGTACTACACTATGTATCGATTTCGTCGTTGAAGGTTTTTTTTTTCAAGTTTGTTTCACTTATTATTTTACAAAAAGGATATGTCGAAGTGGTTTTGGAAATGTAAATTTGAAGCGCATGTTGATTATCGTAGGATCTAAAATACCCGAAACTATTTCATCATTCTGATGAAGATGATATAATTCATCTACCGTTTTTAAAATATTAGCAAAACTGAAGTAAGACACAGCAAACTGTTGCTGTTGAAATGTTGCTCTTCAACAGATTCTGAAGCTCTTAATTTTCCTCACATTAAAAATTGTATTAATTCCATCTCTAACTGATCAACCTTGAATGCAGTCTGATGCGCTTGAATGTCGTATCCTTTTGTGTTATCTTTCCTTTAGTCTGAAACTATCAGATCTTAGGGTTTTTTTTCTCTCTCTGTTGTTTCCTGTATACGTTGTTTCGTCATTCTTGTTTTATATGATTTCATGACGGGAATATAGCTTTTATCTTTTGGCGAAACCTAGTGTTCTTTTGCGAAAGAAGATTATTGGTCTTTAATTACTTATCGGCCTGCTAGCTGTCTAGAGATTTAAAAAAACGATATGACATATCAGATGACCACCCTACTCTCCTTCACAATTTCTCCTTTAACTTTCTCAATTATTCAACAACTTCTGAATTACTGACGTCTTACTGTCGTTAAACAGCATTTGAACGCTTTTCCCCTCGTTATGAAGACAACGAAAGGAAAGGCCATCTCAGATAAAGAACGACTGATATTTAATAGGACATAAGTGGTCTGTTAACGAAATGCTTAACAACAGGGTTTCAGCAGGCTTCTAATTCTGAAAAAATGTGGCCAGTTAACAGACACTATTTATTTCTCTTTATCTGACCTTTAATGATGACCTAAAAGTTAGCAATTGATTGTATGTTAGTAAGGCTCAGATTTAGATAATCGTTAAATGGCATTTTGTTGCCAGTTATATGACTGTTACATAGACAAAAAACCGGACATTTAGCGTTTACCGTTGATCTCACTACTATAAATCTCACGTTGTCTTCTTATAGAAAACGTAGAATTTTGTTCTTCTTCGACTATATAAGTCATCGAGACTTGTGTTGGGAAAATAGCCACGGGTTCTAGGTATGGGGACAGTGATGGCATCGATCATACCTAGAGAATCGAAAATATTCAAAAATTTGAAAAGTCACTTATCTCATGTTAGTAGTGAGAAAGAAATTAGTCATGATCAACAGCCGAATCCTCGGCCATAAACAGCTGATAATTATACAAAAATGGCTATTAAACGGTCACTCTTAAATGGGCTGTTTCCAGCCTGTTTCTTGACCGTTAGAAAAATGCCACTTTTAGGCATTATTACGTTCTCAGTTATAATGTTGAAAAATGGTTAATAAACAGTGTTAACTAGCTAAACAGTATCATTTAAGACATATTTTGTGCGCTGTTAATAGACATTTAATAACTAAACAATAAACTATACCGTTTGTAACGTCCTGGGATCACATTTTCGATATTTCCAAATGTTCCTGAGAAAAACGCTTTTTTACAAGATGTCATAGTTTTGCGTTTTGTTGAGACTTGTTGTAGAAAATTTCGAAATGGGTCGATTTATCTATGCCGATGAATCCGCTGATTAATTAGACTTAATCGAACCAGGTCAAACAAATCGTATACGATCGTATCTGAATCAGACAAAATCGTACCAAATCGTATGAAAATCATATATGAATTGTGGTATATGATTTCGTACGATTCGTATACGATCTTTTACGATCTGATAGTACGATTCAATCACCTGGGGATCTTTCTTTCTGATTTTGACGGCATGAAAAACTGTTTCTAGCGTGATTATTCAAACGGATTCTAAATTGCAATGTTTGTAACGCTGTCAAAACTCATCCAATAATCAAAAGAATTTATCGCCATAGGTAAGTTGAGTCGCCCTACAAATTGGCAATCTCAAAATTTACTAGTGAGCGAAAAAGCGTAGCACTTAAGTATCTGGTTTCTTAGTATGAGGAATCAATATTATATTCGGAATCAGCACCATTCATCAGGTAGGTGTACATGTCTTTCATTCAAAAACCAATTTGAAACATGGGGTTTCTCAATTAGACTCTATTTCTCATCAAGGTAATATCGTGTTTCTACTTTTCTTCTCACACAACTTTCTTTTTTCAGATCTCTCTCTTAGAAGAAAGATACAAGTATTTTAGACTTATACAATTTTTCAAAAATCATAAATTTCTTTTAATTATTCACCTTCTCATTACAAATCTTTACTCGTCATACGTTTCGAGGTCAAACAGTCGTACTAAGATCGAAGCGGAGGAATTCCTCTGCTCACAAACGGTTTTTTTCCACAAACAGTATATTCTTCTTTCTTCAATAGTAGAATAACCGAGTGAGACTCTGTTATCTACTCTTCCTTCTTGTCTATAATCTTTCGAAAAACCTTGTTGTTTCAAGTATAGCGTAGTCTATGTCTTGTTCATTCGTTCGTTCGTTCGTTCGTTCGTTCGTTCCTCTGTTCTTTATTTTGTGTCTGTAATGTCTTTATTCCTTTCTCCTGTGATTTTTATATCATATACTTTCTCTTTCTTCTTGATGGTTGGTTTTTTTATTTAATTTTTCACCTATGTTTGTTTAATCGTTGTTATTCTTTTCTTTTCTTTTCTGTTATATTATTTATTCAAGGCGGGTGATCGCTCCACAGGTCGGAATTCTTTTTATGATCTCTCGCTTCACGTTAATAAATCATCATTATTAAGAGGTTTAGAGTATACGCATGAGTTCGCAATCCGAAAATGAATCTGAACGAATTGACATGTTTAAGAAACCTAGGTTTTAATCTCCATTTAGACATTCTCGTCTCAAAAACTAAAAATAGTCATTAGTAACAATAGGTAGTTTGTGAACTGAAAACTCGTTTCGATCTTTTTCTCTGGTATACATTATCAGGTTTTCATTAGTGTTGTTGTCTTTTCAACCATATTTTCTGATTAAAACACCCGTTGCTTGGTGTGCAAACAAATCTATCGATTGCACTAACGATTTAAAATTTTATCACGTTATAGATGACCACTACAAAGTCGCTGTGCTGTTTTTGATTGGCTGCCATCTGATTGCTATGACTCATCTTGCCTTTTCTCACATCTGAATCAGCTGCTTTTAATGAATGAAGGAGAACTTTTTGCAGTATTTCCTCCACACCATGATTAATCTCAACTACTAGTGGTATCCGTTGTTGACTTCAGTTAACGTTTATCATAACTCGTATAAATTGTGTTTTTTCGCAGCATTTCAATTTCTCATTTAACCGTTACACTTTCGTGTTTTAAAGTCTTCCGGGGGGCCGTATCACAAAAAAAACTTCAGCCTAGACTTTGACGTAAGTTTTTTCGTGATACGACCCCCCTCCTGAACATTTTATCCATATTTTCAAATCTAAATAATGCGACTCCATAGCCTGTCTCTATTCGTCTACCAGCTTTGACGCTTTGCCTTCCTTCTTCCACTGAACATTCGTGAAAAACTTAATTCATTGAAATTTCGACGTACGAGTAATTAACTGTGATTCGTTGTTTTCAGGAACAATACTTTGCTTGTAGAGTGACTTACAGAGGAACAGCTTGCATTTTTCACTCTGAAAATGATTGTATAAAAATACTGTAGTTATTGTTATTTCAGATTATCGAAGACTTATATGTCTTCATCTAAAATGATATCATTTGATCGTTTATTAGATTCCTTACGGTTAACTCCACGTCACCGTTTAGTCGCTTTTAGTGGTAAGTTAATTGTTGCTTTATTGGCATTGTTTCTTTTTCTTTTTCTTCTCTTCAAGATATGTGGGCCGAGATATTTTTGTGGTGTTTTATGACGTCGATTATTGTACATATGATTGCATCTATTGTATCTATTATTTCGCTTCGTGATCATAAAATTGGCCGGTGGTATTCTTTATTGATTATATCAGCCGGAATTATAACTCCTATTATACCATCGGCAATAACAAGTAAGAATACATTTTTACGCCCATCTTTGCTACCGTATTTGACACTGCTGATTCTTTCTTACCAACATTGCATTTTACTTGACTGTTGAAAATCCATCGGGGAATAGTCAAAGAGCTTCATCTCAAATTCACTTTCGGTGTTACATTACGATATTCAATAAAAAAAGTCCTTACTAAGTGTTTTTTTACGCCGAAGACAATAGAAATTAAAGTGCAATATCGACGCCAAGCGCAGGAGCGTGTCTCTATCATCTTTACACATCTCCATAGCTAAGAGATCGTTCTTTCGATATAATATGTATCGTTGACGCTCTCTCGTCAGATATGTATGTGACATCATATTTTTTGTTTTATTTTAGGTGCATTATTAGCAGCAATATTTTATGCTGCATCAGTTGAAATGAAGCCATTCTTTTGTTTTGTACTCGGTGTGGGACAAAGTACAGTTATTATATTATTTTCATTCTTGCGTATTTTGGCTACATTGTGATAATTTGATGATCGTTTCAACAGAAATACCGAATAATATGCCAACGTCCAGCAGTTGAAAGTATGCTCTAAATTGCACTTTTTTCTACTTTCCATACTGTATGCCAGACTATTCTTTCATACTGTAGTCGATATTTTAAAGAAGAGCTAAATATTTGTATTCGTGGCTATAGTAGCGTTTTTGTCATCGTCGATAAGGAAGTAGCTGGAATATTTCTGTTTATCAAGCGACTTTATGAAAATGTTATATATTAGAACTTCCTAATTTCAAAGGCGATTATTTAAAAAAAGCAGCTCACACGGTTACTCAAGAGAAAAACACTATTTTTCCTTTAATTAACGAGTGGAGCAGAATGAATGGCGCTCTCAGTATTTTCTATTTTTCTCGTGCTTCTTTAGGACCCTAAGGCTGGTGTTTTTTTAAAGATGCACCGCGAAACACTCTACAAAACCATATCTAAATTTCAATTTCAGAACTTCAATCAAGAAAACTATGCAAATTATACGAAAGACGAAAAAAATGAAAACTTTCCAAATTTGGTATTTTTTTCGACTTGAACTTTTTTCTTTTGCTATTATTTCCGCAAAAATGTGGCAAAAGTGAGAACGCAGTTCTTTTTGTACTTTTGAATGTGCTCTTTCTCGTTAGAGCAGATAGTGTGCTGGAGAACAAGTTATAAAAACATGTCAGGAATTGACAGCCCCGCGTTTCCAACAATGTGCCTAAGGAAGAAACAGAAAACATGATCGCAATTTTGATTTTGCAGTTAGGTAGAGAAGAGCAATCATTTCTGATATGAAACAAAACAAATCCGATCGAAAAAGCTTTTGGTTTGATGGAGTTATGGGAGTTTTACTGGAAGCACCATAGCCAGAATTTAAAAAATTAATGAAAAAATGCGTGACAACCGACAGAAAAATTATTATTTTTCCATTGTTTTGATGTGAAAAAATGTAAAGGGTAGCTAAAAGATAGAGTGAAGCCAGGGCTACATAATGACTGATTCAGGTTTTTACTTTCAAAACGTTAACACAAGAAATCGTTTTTGACTTTAGAAAGTTTTCTTTCGTATAATTTGCATAGTTTTCTTGACTGAAGTTCTGAAATTAAAGTTTAAGTATGGTTTTGTAGAGTATTTCACAGTACATCTTTTCAACAAACACTAATCTTAGGGTCCTAAAGAAAGACGAGAAAAAATAGAAAATACTGAGACCATCATTCATCCTGCGCCACCCGTTAGAATCAGATATGATGTAATTCCGTCTAAATGTTGCGAAGAATGTATTTTCGACATGTAAGCAGTTATTATATTTTAGGGACATTAACTAATTCGGAACGTCAATGAATGAGAAGCAATATAACGACGGAGAACAAAATTTAATGTAAGATGATGTAATAGCGGTGTTTTTTGCATTTATATTTCTGATATCATCGCTCATTCATTGTAATTCATTTTCTATTGTACTTTTTTTGTTCAATTTTATACCTAACGGACTTATTTAATAACAAATGATAATATACGTGTGTATTTTTCTTTTTTTTATTGTTTTGTGTAATGGAAGTTCTTTTTCTATGTGATTTTTTATCCAATTAAAAGTAAAATGAACTTTTGAATTAGAGAATAGTAAACTCAAGTCTGAAGAAGATTTTAAGAATATATAATTATTCAAAATATGTCAAAAACGGATTAGTTATGTCAATAATTTGAAGTTATTTGGTGTCCATGTATTATTTGGCTTAGTTTAGAATTTTTAATATTAATGGAAACTGAGCTGTTATATGGATTTATTTACATTTGAAAGGCAGTGGAATATCAGTTTTTTTAATTATATAGTACGTAGTTCTAATAAGTTCTTAAAAATGTATAATATTTTAATATTGTGCTTGAACTTGTAGCATTTGACCTAGAGGGCCAACTAGTGGACTAGGCTGATGAGATAATTGTCCTTGATCCATCGGGTACATGGATTGTCCTTGATCCATCGGATACATGGGTTGTTGTTGCATCGATGCATTTTGCATTACTGGTACTTGTTGAGTTCCATACATAGGCTGTTGCTGTAAACCAGATTGACCTTGAGCCATCATCATAGGTTGCTGTTGCCCTGTTTGATTCATAGGTTGTTGCATAGGAACAGTTTGTTGAGAAGTCATCATTTGCGGTTGATTAGCTACGAAAGGTTGCTGTTGTTGACCAACGACTGCGGAAGGTTGTGAGGTCATCATTTGCGGTTGATTAGCTACGAAAGGTTGCTGTTGTTGACCAACGACTGCAGAAGGTTGTGAGGTCATCATTTGCGGCTGTTGACCGGCGACTACAGGAACTGGCTGTTGAGCGTATAGTTTATTCATTTATAACGCGATCATCTATCTGATCTGGCGATATACAAAGTGCTAGCGCTACTATCAGCATTTTTCATCATTCAAGTCCGCATACTTTTGTGTCATTAATAATATTACATTTTTGAATAGCTTAGATGCTGTTGGTGGTGCCTGAGCGTTAGTTACCGGTTGTCCAGCATTACCTCGTTTGAATATATTACCCATTATAAATTCAGTTTTTAATGATAATTATGCGTAATGTGAGCTTGTTCTCTTAAGGATATGTTTAATCGTATCAAAACTAAGAAAATTAGCCAAGCAGAACATTGGTATTAATGACGGGTTTGTACTTCATACTACATGCACCTGATAGAATAATAAGCAATTACATAGGAAAAAATTCTGATCACTTTTGCTAGAATAATATTAAAGCATTTGTCACAAAATATTAGCAAAGTTCCACTCTATCCTAGCATTATCGCAGAACCCAGAAATTCATCACCGCACGGGTATAGACTTGAATAAGAATCGAACTCTACTGACCTTACGAAATGCTCTGTTGCCGCTTCACCTCAACTCAAAGTTTGTTAAACAAATCGTGCCATTTTATATCAGAGCTCTCAAAATCTTGTTAAAAAAAAGTCATCAAAAAATCAAACAGTAACAGTATCTCGATGGCAATGTATGTATTGAGAGCCCAATCGAATGCGCAAGATTTACCAGTCATGCGTCGAAGTTTGAAAAGTATATATTACAGTAAGATTTACGGAGGAAAATGTAGCTTCCACTTCAGATAACCAGTGAGAACCGATTCATAGAAACTTTTTGTGCTGGACCGCCCCTCCCCGCTTTCTTCCAAAAGATGATGTGCAAGACAAAAAATGTACACAATTTTGTTTTCAAACCTGCATCTAATGCACTTTTTTCTGAGAAGATATCCTTTTTCCTTAAAAAATTCCTGAGGTTCATCATTAGTATGTTTATTCTTGCATAGAGCTGCCTTACTGCAGTACACTGTATTCTTGCCACTCACATTTTCATGGAAAAGAAAAAGGATAAATTTTTTATAATAGAAAATTCTGAAAGTGAATTGAGCGACAAGCTTACTCGAAATTATTTGGAGATTCTATGCTATATCTTCAGCACCATTAAACAAATGATTTATTTAGCTAGAAAACTATCAGGTAAAGCAAAAGTATTTTCTTTATAACTCATCGAAAAATTTATTTTTAATAAATTTTGTACGTTGTCCGAAATCTGTGTAAATTTCATGTTCATTATATTAACCCTTTACCTACCAAGAGGTAATCATGACTGATTCATAGAATTATTATAAAAAGATAATGAAGCATGTGATAAAAATCTGATCACCTTTGAGAGCAAGATAAATCCATAAGCTATGGATTGATAAAAGAAGATTTAGTTTTCCATCACGTTTTGGCACTTCATTACATTTTTAAAATAATTCCACGAATGGGTCATGGATGAGCCCTTGGTAGGTAAAGGGTTAACTCAATGATAAATATAAAATTTTTTTCATGATAAGTCTGAATTTAGCACCATCAGACAGAGCTACATCATCGGTTGTGCTGCTATAGATAGAATATAATTATTTACAGACAATTTATTTATACATCTATTCGTTGTACATTGTCTCTTTGCTATACAAGAAAATTTCTCCAAAAAAATTCAGAATGGAAAATCTTCCTTCGATATTAACAAAATAAAAATTATAAACCAACAATTTAACCTGCTCAAAAAAATATTTTTGTCGACGCTTGTACGGTGCCGATGTTAACCAGTGACAGTGATTAATGGTATGACATACACGCTGATGTATACTGGCAATATCGCGCTGAATCTCTCTTTTTAAGATTGGCGTGTGCATGATTCTTTCACGTAAATAACATTTCTGTATTTTTGACATTAACGAAGGATGAGAGGATTATGCAGGATTATTACTAAACGAACTTTATAGTACTAGATAAATGTAAGTGCAAATGAGAAATTTAATAACAAAAAAAGTTATTCTCTTTAGAGGTGAGAGTGGAGTGGGGTAAATTGGCACGAAATTCTACCACCTTATAGTATTTTAATCATAATTCTTTTAATTTTTGAAATTTTTCTGTGGTTTCTTGCAGGCATACGTGTCAGACTTTCCTCTATTGATCCATCCCTAGTAAAAATCTTAGACACTTCTTAAAATTATCTTACTAAGATCTTATCTTTTAAGATTTTGATAAGATAATCTCAGATCGTATCGCGTAAGAGTTTAATAAGATTTAATGACTCTACTTACATTCACCCCTTTGTTTTGCTCTCATTCATCTATATTAGTAACACCGAAAATATTAGTGATTTTACGGTTATTTTTCTTCCAGACTCTGCTAGTACTTTCTCCCTCGAAAGTCTTCAACAACTTTTTACAGAGTGTACATGCCGGTCAAGGTACATAGTTGGACACCCGAAAATATAAAATTTCTCGCCATTCTTCAACACTGTTCAACTGCTGGTTGGATAATGCAGATTAAAAATTCAAAAATGCTAACGAATCTTGAATGAATACTAGTTAAAAATGTCATCATTCTTACTAGTAAGATCCTAACAGATTCTTATCCAATCTTGAAAAAACCTTGGACAGTATAATCTTAATATAATCTTAGAAAAATCTTATTAAATCTTAGAATTTTTGGGTTTCACGATCTTAGTAAGATTTGTCTAAGATCTTAGACAAATGTAAGCGGAATCTAACTAAGATTTTAATAAGCTTTTTCTAAGATCTTAGTAAGATTCGAGTAAGTTTCTCACTAGGAATGTAAAAGTTCTCAAAAACGAGCTATCTCCAAGACATTTACCCCGCGCACTTTGCCAATCTGCTCCACAAGCGGCAATTTGGCAAGGCAAATTTCATTTGCATTCTTGCAAGTTCTTTTTAAACTCGCTTCGATATACTCTATTATTTAGTAGTATAAATAAAAAGGTTGTTGTAAGTATTTTGCATCATGGCTTGATTACTCATGATCATTTTGAACTAAAAAGACCTGGAATGTCGCTATTTTCAGCTCGCTTCTTGCTGACGTTAGTCTCTCTAATAAGTCATATCAATTCATTTTCGAATATTTCACAACAGCAGCTATTTATTTTCAATGGTTAAGTACGTATCCGATGTATTCGAAGTTTAATAAACAGATCCTAACAGGTAATTATCCATTTTGTCATAAACGACGGACAAACTAATTTCAACGTTTTATTTTTGTCAATCTCTGTATTCACGATTTGGCAAATTTTACTGTTGAGGACAAGCTTGATACTTTGTCTGTCGACCGTTTATATTAAATCTGATTGGCAAATAGCTATTAGCTCATTACTTTTCTATAATGTGTTTCCAAAGTTTTCACACAACTAATTTCCAACCATGTACCTGCTACTTGTGTGCGAATAATTTCTTTCATCTTCATTGAACTGCATTTCTACGTGACCAGTTCACTATCAGTCAACGTATCAGAATTATTCCTTATATCTCAACATCTTTTAACTCTCGCAATACAGATTCACAAAATTTTAATTTTTTTGTGTACTTAAAAGTCAGGTCGTATCGTAGTTTATATATATTTTGATAGAACATGAAATTCTCTACAAGATGGTCAATTCATTTTTACGATTTGTTTTGAGTCTGATTTTTTTATGGACTAGAAGTAAACCAACTAGGGAAAAACATACTTTCAGTTTTTACTATTTCTTACACTAGTAAAGAAACAAGTACATTTTGTGTCATATACCGATTTGGAGCTCGTCAAATTTCCTACAAACCGAACTTTATATGATATCTTGCAGTAGGTTCAGCCTCTGTAGTTTTAGGCGTGGTATCAGTTTTGCTGGGAGTCCCAAGACCGATATTAGGTGGATAACCTCTAAAGTAAATGGAAACATACTTTAGAAGTTATCCACCATACTGAATCTTGTGGCAATATATTTTTTCCTGAAAAAGGTGGATAAACCTAGTGAAACTGAGTTTCGATGAAAATTCACCAATTCAGCTATAACTGACTATACAATAGTAAAATATCCTTCAAAACCTAACCAAACCGCTTGGAGCACTCAGAATATGATCAGAAGAGTAGATTGAATAGTTAGAATGTCAACACAACCCTTAACTAATATATTCTCTTACAATGGATCTATAGAAAATCTCCGTAAATCCCAATAATATGAAAATATATGTTTTTACTTTTCTGACTCTATCAACATGTAAATCAAGGAAAAGTGAGTGTTTTCTAAGAGTTCCAAGCGGTTTGGTTGGATTTTGAGGGAGACTGGGATATTTTACTTCTATCAGACACCTTTAGTCAACTTAATACTATTCTTTTTAAAGGTCTATTATCTTATAAACTAGAGAGTCATTTTTTTCGTTAGTAGACTCTATCGTGTAACAAATAATTTACTGATTGTCGTAGGTTGTGTGGATATTGTTGTCAATAATAGTGCGTTTCAAAATAGATTTCGATTCGTCTGTCGTTATTACGCTATTCCTCAATTCTACTCTTCCGGTTGGTCGTTATTCCTTTATTATACGGGGTCGATCGATGTGCTGTGCAAACAACGATGTTTTTATAACACATATAAATAGAAAAAGTGTTAGTTTTTAGAATAAATTTACTCTCTTTATTATCGCGTTTATACAAGTGGATTTTAAGTTTAATGATGTTTAACATAAAATAGACGTGATGAATCGTTATAATATTTTTTTATTGAATCTGAAATTATTTGGGGAGATTTGCTTGCATCTATCAGCAGTTACAAAAGAGAGTTTAACAGAGTGTACGTCGAAAACATGCACTTTTTCTATTTATATGCGTTCTAAAAACATAGTTGTTTGCACAACACACAAGTTAATATTACTCTGATATATTTTTCTTTGATTTCTTTGAATTTACGTGTTAAAAAAATGTTGTTACCCTGTCTCGTAACTATAGCTTTAGCTATAGTTCGAGCCCAGTCATGCTTTTAGTAAAACCGATCTTTTAAGAACGCTTCGCAGTCAAGAAATGCATAACTTTGCCCCCATCATTTCTCTATCAATAGTTCATCGGATCGATGTGGTTCTTTCGGACTTTATGTTTGTTATATTATGTAGATGTTCCCTTTCTGTAGACGAAAATTTATTTGATCGATGGTTCGATAGATATTTTGGAAATAATGTCTTTTTTACCCTGACTCGCAACTATAGCGAAGCTATAGTTCGAGCCCGGTTAAGCTTTTAGTATATCCGATCTTTTAAAATCACACCACTTCGAGAAATAAAAAAGTTTGTAAGAGGTACTTCTCTATCAACGGATTGTCCGATCAATGTACTTCTTTTGCACTTTATGTTTGTTATAGTGTGTAGATGTGCCCTTTCTGCGGACGAAAATTTATCTGATTTGTAGTTTTTAAGATATTCTGGGCACAATGATCTTTTTTGCATTATAGCATATACTAATAAGGGTGTAAGTCACTGGCGCACTAAGGATAATTAATCGAATAACACTTACATGTATGTTGTTGCAAGTGAGTAGCAATTAATTACACTATATAATTTAGATGTGCTGTTTTATAATATTCGATTTAATCCCTTACGACGTATAGAAAAGGTTTATTAATCATCTATATACCAAACACTATTAGTACTACTACTACAACTTAATCTAAAGCGTTGTACTATAAAGACAAAAGAAATTCCATTAATTCGTTATTATTCTAGCGCTCGCAATTCATTCGTTACGCTTGCACCGAGATTCTGTTTCACTTCATCACCTTTGTTGAAGCTCCTTGTTAAACAAGTGTGTTTACTGAATAAAATTGTTGGCCTATGTCAAAAGTTTCAAACTGACAGGTTTACCAGTCTGCACTATACTAAGGTGAGCACTGTGAAGACCATCAGATCTAACTTTCAGCGAGACAGGGACGGATCTACCTAAATCTTGCCTGCATTATATCCATATTCTATTTATGATATGACTCATACACACACAAACGATAATTAAAACAATTCTTAATAAGCAGCGATTTTTATGTTGATTGTTTAATGCATCATTAACCCTTGTACTACCAGCCAGGGTCTATTTAGACCCTGTTCTCAAGAAACAAGAAAATGAGATGAAATTTTTTTTTGTATGGATCGAAGTATGAAATACATTCTATGAATGCATTCTGTTTGTTGTGTCTAAAATAGGCTTAGAAGTACAAGGGTTAAGTAAAACTGATTCTCTGTGACGTACCGAATACTCTAATAATTTACCGTGAAGTACGCAGAAGCACTCTGCATACAAACATATGTCACAAAGAATCAGAAAAGTTACTTTTTCTTTTGTTTTCAGTTTAGTTTAGTCTTTACAGTTGAAATCCTATTAGTTTAGTTCTGCTTTCTGTAGAATACTGTTATTAAAGAAATACTCCTTAAACAGTATGTTAAGAGAATGTCCTACTCACGAATTCACTACGGAAGCGATAATGCACAAGATTTCTCCTACTCTAGAAAAGCAATCATTTCAGCGAGACAGGAACTGATCTTCCCAGATGTTAGTCATTCTTTCTCATATATCAAACGTTTATATAAGAAAACATTTATAGAAAACGTTCGATTGAACTCGTACAGTAAAGAAAAAACGATTAACCGAAATAATAGTAGAATTGGGTAATAGAGCAATAACGACAAATGGATCAGAATCTATTTTGAAGTGTTTCTTAATAATCATTGTCTTGTCGGTGTGTATTTTTGTCAGCTTGAAAGAGTAATCAGAAATGGTTTTCATAGTCATTCTTTCTCGTATATTCGACAAAAAACAATATTCTTCTCTATTTTATCTTCTGATACATATAATAATAATCAGTTGTGCTGAAGAAAGAGCACTGCTTTTGTATTTAAATATAGAACATAAAAAATAAATTCAATACTGTTCGTTACTACTTTTTTTTCTTTTTCTTTCTTCCCCTAACTCTCGTCTACGAATTCTATGGTAGAAACGCTACTTTATTTTTTTCCTCTACAGTAATTCTTTCTGTACTTGAAAATAAAAAGGCTAAATCTCCAATACAAATGGAATATTTATAAATTTATTTGATTTCTGTATTGCTTTTTCGAAAGTAGGTTAACTACACAACAGTGGTGAAAGGTTAAAGAGTATTAAGAGTCATCTAATTGTGCAGAAATAATCTTACTTGAGAAGAATTTAAAAATCTTATAAAAAAAAGGGATGTTATTTGTCATCCTCCAAATAAAAAAACGGTGACTTATATGTGTAACCCTCGAGTTAGAAAATGCCCATATATTTTCAGCGAATTAGCCAAGTTTACCTGATATAACGGACTATGGTTGAAAAAAAAAAGTTAAGTTTTATTCGGCACACGACCTATTCTTTTATTTTATCAGATAGCATGCGCCCTTCTGTTATGATGAGTCACAAGTATAACCGTCTTTTTCATCAACATTAAGTCATAGAGCTAAATACTTCCCAAATTTGAACGAACTGCAAATGTTTTACATACATACGATAAAAAACTATTAACTAATCACAGCTGTAATATGTAACTTAGTCATTGTCTATTTTACTTTCGTTGTGTCTATTTTCAGAATTAATGCGATGAGCAGTGAAGAAGTTCAACATCAACAACAAGTATCACCATCACCTAATGTACAAAAGAATCACAGTTATCATTCAATTAATGATAATAGTGATAACTTGATGGATATTCATTCACATGACTTTGCTCGACATGGATGGCACAAAGTGATTGCTGCCATCGATGAAATGAGACGACTAACAGAATGTACGAAAAATCAACAACGTCGTCATTATGCGCTCGATACACGAACAACGCCCTCATCGGACATGTCAACTACATTATTATCCAGTCAACAACGCTCAGCAAAAAAAGTTGAATCAGTTCATGACGAACTACTATTCGCTAAAACAGGCAATTTTAATTTAGATCAACTAAGTGATGATTTCTCGGAAATGAAAAAAACATTTCAAGATATATCAAACATAAAACAAGAAAATATTCAGTCTGTCATTTTAGCGACAAATCTTACAAAAACAGCACTGTTGATTGTATTTCGTTCAATTGAATCTATAGCACAAGTCGTTACAAGAGGTAATACAAGAATGGCAAGTTTTCAAACAGCAATTGCCATATTACGAGCAAAACGAGAGATATCGTTACCGGGTAAATTATTATGCGAGTGGTATCGCGCAGCACAAACACTTGACTTGTTATTAAATGATCCTGATTGGTTATGTAAACGAAAAAAAGCAAAATGGGCCATTGAAGTGTGTACAGAAACGTTGATTTGGAGTAAAGGTGTATTTAATGAAAATTTTAAAATGGCTCATCCACGACCCATATTTGATCGAAACGAAAGTACTGATATGGCTACGACAAAAGAATGAATTTTCAACTATTTGACATTGCGTCGCAATATAGTCTTGTCAAATTCTTTTATTCCATGCTCGTCTTTAATATTTCTATATCTATTAGTGGACAAGTCTAATTTTAAATTATATCTCGTACTGGATTCTTAGTCTAATTTCTAAAAATTTGTCTTCTAGATTTTATATATTCATTATTTGTGAAAATTTTTAAAATTTATGTAGACAAGCCGAGCATACAGTGCACAGTAGCTTTCTCAATACTGACAGACATGTCTTACAGCGGTCATGTAACTATAACGATAACGAAGCAACTATCGTAGAAATATATAGTGTATTATCAATAGAAATCAATTCAACAGATTAATAGGCACTCGTGCGCATATAATACTGTCTGTCACTAGCATAGAAAAATATTAATGTGCACATATTACTAATCCACAGCCGCTCGAATACTTCCAAGAAGTTTTCAAATAAACTAATCTTTTTTCTGGAAAAACATATTCAAACAAAACGAAAAATCAAAAAATAATCATATTTTTCTTTCGTATCAAGTGATACAAAATATAATTAACCAGATTCTCGATTTAAGATACAAAACTTCGACAATCAATAAGAAATTTTTGCGAACTTTAGTTTCTTGTTTCTCAGAAAATTCAGATTTTACATCTCACTGTTCATTAAAGTTTTCTACCGATAATCGCGAACCCAGCTAATTATTTTACATTAAATAAAAATCACTTTTTGCATCACTTGATACGAAAGAGAAATATGATTATTTTTTGATTTTTCGTTTTGTGTAAATTTCCAAAAAAAAGCTAAAGATTGGTTTATTTGAAAATCTCTCGGGCGCATATGAAGAGATTTGGAATTCTTTCGACTATATTAAGAGAAACTTATCTTTTAACTTCATATTTCATATAAGTTCAAAAGTTCGATCACTCTCGTTTCTCTCAAACGTGGATGTCGATGTATCCTTATGTGTAGATAACGATACAAACAAGTTCACACAAAAAATATGTACTAAAGCTCTAATATAATCAACAATGACAAAAAAAACACGCTGTTAGCAAACAAACAAACAGAATGAAATAAGTAACATCCCTCACTTGACCAATTCACACTAAAAGTGCAAAGAAGTAACCTTGAACAAAAAAAACAATTCATGTCGAGAAAAAAAGTCTTTATAAAAGTTGCACGGGAGGAGGAACTTTTAATTTTTCTCGTTTCACAACGTCACTTAATGTTTGTATTGGCAATTTACAGGTACCAAATGATGCGAAAGCAACAACATTTCGTTGTGGTTCGGGATCCTGCGCTTGTGTTTCACAATTGTAAAATGCGGCTAATTCATGAATAAATTTTCGGTCTTGTGTTTTCATCGGTTTAAATGAGTAACATCGCTTTGATACTTTATATTTGATTGTATCATCAACTAATTGTTGTAAACATTTTTCAACCATTTGTACGAAGTCAGTGTTTCGTCGTGCAATATCTTTTAGCCAATCTGAATATTGTAATGCTTGTCCCGCTTGTAGTTGTGAACGATGTTCATCAACATTGATATTTAATGCTTGAGCAAAACTTCGATTACGTTGAGCAATTTTACAATCATCATCACATTCTAAGACGGGCGCTTGATAATATTCTGGTTCATTTCGTTTGCGGACGATATCAATTGTACGAACAGATAGTGCCTCAGTCAACGATTGCGCCAAGTTATTAACGGATCGATGTTGATCATCATTTGGTTTTGTATTACAATAAACATCTTTTGTTAAACGACCACATGCACATTTTGCTTGAACGAGATAACGACATACGGTTTTGGGACATGGATCGCGACCATGACATGGCAGATTGCAAGAATGGGGACATGATTGGCGTTTAACTTCGCATTTTAGGGGACACTTTTGATCTGGGGCTAAACATGTTCCCGTATGACAAAATCGTTGGCAAAGATGAACGCCACATACTAAAAGTTTACCACACAATTGACCACATATAACATCTTTTAAATGACATGGTACCTAAATACGTACACATAGTTACATAAAAAATTCAATCTTAAATCAGTTAAGCCTACATTATCACGAATGGTATGACCGCCGACACACATTTTCGACACAAGATGAGTACAAGGTGGACATTCTGGTTCATTATGACAGGAATGGTAAACTGGATGACCACAAGGATGTGTTCGTTGACATTTTTCAGTACATGTTGGTGATTTTGTACCGCAAGGCTGTGAATAAACATAGATTGTTGTTAGAGCATATTCAAAATGAAATGCTTCGCAAAAATTCTTACCACAGGTGGTGGTATGATAGATTTTCCACATTCACATGTCAATTCTTCGTACGAGTTTACCATACACTTTCTACACAATGATTTGTGACATAAATCAGTACAAGTGTGTATTCCACAATTTAACTGTTTACCGCAAACTAAATCACAAATGTGAATATCTTGATTACAACATAAATTTGTACAACGATGTTTTCCACACATTTTCTTTTTATTGCAACGTCTGTCGCAGAGAAATGGATTTGTTCGAGTATCATATAGTAGAGCCTCCGGACACGGCACTGGTTTTGTTGTATTTCCACATCGACATTTTAAAACTGTTGTTTTCTCACATGGTGGGCATATACCATTATGACATTGCGATTCACATGTATGTTTATCAGTTAGTGGGCCACATTCTAACGTTTTATGACAACGTTTGTTACAAACAGGTACAGGATCAAGACAAGATGTTCGTTGTTCAACATCGAGCAATTCAGTTAGCAATGTTTTACCACAACTACATGTTTTACAGTTTTCTGGCAATAACGGACATGAGGAACACGAACCGTAATGACATTGCATCTGGCAATAATGATTTCCGCATGACAATAGTTTATTACATATTTTATCACAGGTATAATGGACGGTATCACTTGTATCAGCTGTACATGGTACTTCACGCTCATTTCCATGTGAATAACAACTTTGTTTAACGGTGTCTGTACATAAATCACATGAAGAGGGATGACAAATAACGTTACACGAATGTTTTTTGCAATTCTTTAGTTTATTGCAAACATTTTCGCATTTAATAATTGCTTGGGAGCTGCAAACAACGGATTGTTTTTCGCTACCACATAAACACGAGCGTTTAACAACTGCTGTACACGTCGGACATGGTCCAGGATGACATAGTCTAAATGAGAAAAACAAAGTTAAAATCGTAAAATTTTCGCAGATGGTATATTTTTGTATAGACTACACCAGTTGTTAATTTGTTGCGTGATTCTTTCCCTTTTTCTTCACTTCAGAGACTCGCCGATAGAGCCCTGCGAGATGGGGACTAGAGGAAAGAATTTTACGGGATCGGGAGGGATATTTCTTTTTCCAATCTATTGAAACTATGTTTTATTATCACAAAAAATAAAAAAATAAAAATTTTCGGAATTTAACGAGATCGTAATTAAGCCTACGGGACGGAATAGGGATAGGGATTGCAGAAAAGATTTTTTTGAGATCAGAGTTGGGACGACAAATCTCAAACCCGCAGGACTGTACTCGCCAATATCGCAATAATCGAAATCTATTATTATTAGAAAAAAAACATCACTGAACACACTATGGTTTTCTCAAACTTTTTACTAACCATTCTAAAGAAGAAAACGCTCAATTAACTTTCTCAAGATTTATTACTCTCAATTTACGTTAAAAATTTCCACAACTGTTTTGTTCAAAACATAAAAAAACGATCTAACTTACAGCGAAAAGTCATATAGGTATCATCTCTTCTACGTAAGAAATTGTGGCTAAAGAAGCCCACTTGGTTGCTACCAAGAGAAGGTCTCCAGGTGTAGCCTCTAGGAAGAAGTTAAAATAAGCTCGAAAATGTTAAGTTAACGACACTAATTTTCAGAATCTGAAAACCGTAACTAGAATTATTAATTGTTTAAAAATTTGTAACCTTTCAATTTTTGAACACTCAGAAATTGTTCCTTATATATCAGATTTGTCCTTTTGAAAAAAACAAAGAGCTAAACTCACTCTGTGCATATATGTGTACAATCTGCCGATTTTGTATTCAAATGTTTGCCACACACATCACCGCATGCATGTGATGTTTCGCCTGGCATAAATAATGGATCATGTTTTTTCCGACAAAAACAAAGATAATTTGGTACATAATTATTAATTTTTTGACAGCCGGGACATCGCCATTCTTTTTCCAGTCCACTTTCTTCAGAATTTGCCCATTTTTTAATACAAAATAAATGAAACATTTTATAACATACTTCACAACTCCATATGGGTTGTTCACGTCTAGAAGAAAAACAAAAATATATACAACATTACATTTGAAGTATGTGCTACGTACTGTATTTTTGAAAAACATATCATACAATCATAATCATTCACACGAAGTTGTTCAATCAATGTTGATCGTAAATTTTCTGTTTTTCCACTATCTTCAGTCTCATTTTGTTGCGTTGATTTAGAATTATAAAAGAATTGTTGTTGAATGGGTTGTTGATAATATTGTTGATGATAATAAAAATTGCCGTTGTTTGTGTCAGAGAAATTTGAATATCTTGAATGAGAATTGTTAATTCGTCGATTATTGAACGATGATACTTGTTGATTATTTTCATATTGGTTATCTTCAGCATATGATTGTTGTTGCTGTGGCGGCAGAGGCATACGATTTGTGTATTGAGTATGTCTCGGAGTCCATCGATTACGTCTATTTTGCGAATGATGATAATTGTTATTTGGACGATTTATTCGTTCGTTATTATAAAAGAAAGGTACTGATGATGAGTTGTCGTAAACGTTGTCTGAATCACTTTGCCGCGATGGTTGTTGGTTTTGTGTGCGATTTTGTTGACCTGAATGCATGTTACTTTCTGTTGACGTTGATGGATAATTTTTTGAATGGTAATACGTTGAACTCTGAGCCATAGTTAGAGTATCGAGAAGATCTCTGAAGGTAAAAAGAGTCAGTTATAAAGTAAAAAACAGAGAATGGTTTGTATTATATAGAGAAGTCGAAGTAAATTACTTAGTTTCTCATACACGCTTTGCAAAAATTGCGAAATTTCGACACATAATGACGTGCTATACTATTTATATTATATACGCCTTTATCGTTTTCTTCCATATTCGTAATTTTTCTTTTACTATTGACTAAGCGATGACTTGGCTTAATGCACATTGGACACCATTGTTCACCAATAAGACTTTTGAGCCACTCCATTTCGAAGAATCTCTCTACATGACAAATAAAATTCTGCTTTATTGTCTAAAAACAGTGGCTGGAAGCGATAACTAGAAGTGCATCTTTGAACTATGTGTATTCAATACTCAACTCCAAAGTGGGATTAGAGTTGTAACCCTGACTACCTTGACAAAACGGAAAGCAACTTTCGGTTTACATATAGGAAGAAGATAAGTCATCGTAAATTCTATCACCAAACCGCTGCCGTCAACGTCAAAACACATAGAATCTGGCGACTTGGTGATGACTTATCTTCACCGTTTACATGAGAGCAGAAAAATGTCCGAATTGTTCCCTTATGCGAGAATTCTTGAAAATTTTTCGAGAATTAATAGCTCTTTTATACATCTAGACTAGGAAACAAAACGTTGAATTAAATTATCGTTATCAGTTAATAACCATAGCCGGTGTTTGCCTCTACAGGTCATCGAAGCTTGATAACACTAAAGATTGTAATATGGTTCTACGTTTACTACAAGTGGTAACAAGAACCATAACAATTAAACAATAATAAAAATAATATTTTTGAGGACTAATTAATTAAACGTCTGCATTTTCTAATACATGGTGATGAATATATCCGTTTTTTAAACAAAGCTGTAAATAGATCGTTTTTTCACTGTAAAACGCCCTTAGTCACCCGCGAAATAATTTGAAGCTGCTATAACGATCATTCTCGCTAAATATGAAAATAATCAAATGTTTCATATTTAACACGTTCAAACGGGTGAAATTTCCCAACTTAACGCGCGTGAACGTGATTTCGGAAAACGAAACGGCGAAAACTGCGCTTCGCAGTCATTAACTTCTGAGTTTTCACGCGATAAAGAAGTGGATTAACCCGTTAACTGTATACATTCTAACGATCGTTAGCCGCTTCAAATTATTTCACGGGTATGCGAGGTAATAACAACGAACGACATAGAAACAATCTATCAACGATGCTAGTTTTGGTCAGTAATCAATGCTTTTCCGAAAATCTTTTAAACAGTGTTTGAAGAAACTAATTTATGACGAATCGATTCTAATATTGGTAAGTATTTTCTAGTTTTATACACCGTTTAAATTTAAATTTATATACACCGTTTCAGTATTCATATTCCTGAAAGATTTTGCAAGAGGGTTGCCAAAAGGAAACTAGTCCATTGTGTTCACCGTAATCGAAATTCTCGTACGCCATGTTTTTCTCAAATGGGTGATCGCGCTTTTCACAAAAAAAGATTTTAAAATTTTGAAAACGATTCAAGCGATAATCCAACTCGCGTTCAAAGAAATAAACTTTCTTCATCTCTTAGTCCACTGAGCCAGGATTCTTTACTCATCGTCTGTTCCCCTATCCACCCTAGATTATTATTGTTATATGCAATTTATTTTTTCCTTTACAGTGTAATACAAGGGGGGAAAAGCGGATTTGGGGGTATTCTAAGTATTGGGAATATTTGCGAATATCAGAGAATACCTGAAATTCTATGAGAATAACCCTGAATACGTTAGAATCGTCTAGTCATATAGAATCGACTATTCTGATCACGAATATCGCCTTTAAGCTTTTCAAAGTGAAAAGATAGCTCAGGAGAAAACGTTTACGGAACTTAGTCCTTCGGTGAAAAACAGGCAAGCTCT